GAGTTGAGTCTCCATCCAGCACATGTGAACAAGAGGGTGTAACATTTGCTCCATTTTCTGTGACAATCTGTTGGGATTTATGAGAAACCAAGAAAACAGTTGAGAAATCTTGGATGAAAGGTCTGGTTTGTAAAGATGTTTTTGCACCTGGCACTGAAGGCAGATACAGGCAGACATCTGGGCACTTGTCTCCTTCCAGCCACACAGCAAGAACTGCAGTTACGTGTGGCTCCAGGTGCTGCTTGGAAATGCGAGCTGAGTGGCAGAGCTCTGGCCACAAAAGGTGGAGGAAATTGCTTGAACCAGATGCCCAAATCATCAGGTTAATTTGAGACTCTCCTTCCTTCCTGCAGGCACGAACTCTGTGGGTGACAGACCGTGCTGCTGCTCTCAGCAAGTGAACCCTGGAAAGCCACAGCGCTGCGGCTCTGTCTCACAATCCCTGCAAACAACTGGTGGCACCTTTTCAAAGAGAGCCCCTTCTTTGACAAAATGATGTCACTTGCTGCCCAGCCTTTCCTCCCCGTGAGCAAATAGTGCTGCGTTCCCTTGGCCACGTCCAGGGGATCAGCTTTCACCCCCGGTGACCAGAATGAGGAGCCCAGGAACGGAAGCCAAGCGAGAGTTGTTATTATTATATCACTGAACTGGCATCTGGAATGTCACAGAGTATCCGAGCTCTGACATAACTCTGAAACTTGGCACAGCTGGAATATGGGCTGTAACAGGTAATGCTGCTATTGTATTTCCCTGTTTTCTTTAGGATAATTGTTGCATTGGTACAGAGGTTAAACACTTCCCTCTGCTTGTTTGCCTGTAATACTGAAGCTTTATTTTATCAGTTATGTTTTATTTTTATCATTATACTTTATCTTATTTTACATTTTTATTTATTTATATTATTATATTTGTATTATACATTTATGGTTTTTATTTTTAATAATGTTATATTATTTTAAAAGAAAATCTTCACCCTTCCTGACTTTCTCTGCCTGATGTCCTCTGCTCTGTTATTTTAATGGCATTCCCATATGAACATTTTTCATCTGTGCCCCCTCACTTCACCCCTCTCAGTGCAAGGAGCTCTCGACACTCTCTGGGCCCTCCTGTGCCATCACAGTCGGAGCTGGTCGGTGAATAGAGCAACAAAGAGGGTTTGTTTTGATCATGCAATGGGCTTTCCCCCCACACACATCCCCCGTGTGCATTTTGCACGAGTTCAGAGAGGGTTTCCCACCCAGAAGGAATGGCAGATCCTCTGGGCGTTGCTGGCAGGGCTGCAGTCATACCCTATCTCACTTGCCCGAGGTGCTGGGAGCAGAAGCCCTGACTCAGACTGCAGCAGTTTTCCACTCTCTGCCTCACTGCCCTTCTTATTTCTCTGCCCTCTCCCCCTGCACGTGTCACTGTGCAGGAGACTCCCACTGACTGTAATTGCCATCACCTTCCATCTGCCCACGACAACAGGGCAATAAAAACCTGAACTGCTCATGGTAAACAAATAAAATACACTCCCTTTCCCCAGAAGCCTTTAAGAACATCTCCAGAAAGGCGAGTGCAGTGATTTTGGCTTTTCTAACCCGCTCCCGGGATTTACCCAGGATTTGGGACGCTTGGAGCTGGAACGGCGGCCCCCGGGGGATTCTGGAAGCTGTGATCCATCCCTGTCATGCTCAGCACCCAACATCTCTCTGGAGAACAGTTTCCTGCTGCTGCCTGACACACACACGATGGGCCAGGTGAAGTGGCTTCGAGTGCCTCCCGGTGAGTGCCAGGAGGTGACTCAATTTTACATGATTCGTATGCCAAAAATGTGCAGATACAGTGTCAGGATGTGCCTCGTGGATCCCGCAGCAAAATCAGACAGCGGGAGGACAGATTTACTGCAAGAAATTCGAATTGCTCAACGCAGCAAAAGACTTTGAATTGATTTAGTGGAAAAAAAAAAAAGAAAAAGGAGAGAAAAAGATGAGAGTGTTACTGAACGGCTGCATTTGCATGAGCTGAGCGACAGCTCCGGGTAAATGGATCAATTTACAAGTTTATTAAAATACAGTAAATTAAGAATTTTTCAAGTAAAAACTTGAAATTCATCTTAATTCTGTCCCGTTCACTCAGTTTAATTCACCCCCCGGGAAGTGCTGTGCGGGGCCGGGGTCAGTCACCACGCGTGGGCAGGAGGTCGGGGAGGGGATCCCGCGGGGGCTCTGCCTGTGTGTGTGTCCTCCTGCCTTCACCTGCAGCTCCGGCCGCACTCGCGACCCCCTGGGGGTCCCCCGGTCACCCCACGCCACATCCCCTCCATGACACCCGCGGGACTCGTTCTCCCCACATTCCCCCGGCGCTGTCCGGGCAGAAGGGGCGGAGGAGCCCACGCGTGTCCTTACGGAGGGTGAGGAGGGCAGGGGGCTGGCGGTGTCCCCGCAGGGGTGTCGGTGCCCACAGGGGTGGATCTGTGTCCCCGGGGCCCGGCGGTTCCCGCGGCCGCTCCACGCGCGGGGCGGAGCGGCCGTGACGCGGCGGGACCGGGGCTATAAAGCACCTGCCGGGCGCCCCAAGGCTCCAGACGCTGCGCGGCGGCTCCAGTGGAACAGCCGGGACGGGAGGAAAAGGAGGAAAACCCACAGAAGAGCCCCCCTAAAGCCGCCGGCTCAGCCTAGCTCAGCTCAGCTCAGCCCAGCTCAGCCCGCAGAGCCGCGGTGATGCCCCGCCACCCCGCAGTGCTGCTGGTGCTCGCCCTCCTCGCCCTCCTGGAAGCCGGTGAGCCCCGGGCTGGAGGGGGATTGGTACCCTGGGGTACCCTGGGCTGGGGGAGCGGGGACGGGGCTGCCCGAGGGGGCCGCGGGGTGCGGGCGCTGCGCGGTGCCCTCGCTGCGGAGGAGCCCGCGGGGTTGTGCCGCTCCGGGAGGAGCCGCAGCCTCGTTCCCTAAAGCTGCCGGCGCGGGGACATCGCCGCGGTCCCCGGAGGAGGTGTGGCCGCGGAGGGGACACACGGACGGGCTCCGAGCCGGCGGCTCATCCCTCCCTCCGTGTGCCGCAGGTCTGGGCCATCCCCCGCCCGAGTCCCACCTGGCCGCGCACCCGAGGACCAAGAGATGTTCGTGCAACAGCTGGATGGACAAGGAATGCATTTACTTTTGTCACCTGGACATCATCTGGGTCAACACACCTGGGTAAGCACGAGCAGCTTTCGGGGGTGGGGGGAGCTCTGGGGATGGACAGTGACTGTACTCTCTGCTGGAGGATGGGGAAAGGGTCCCAGTGCAGGGAGGCTCCGGGAGCACCTGCTCGGGGGAGCATTGCAAGCTCAGCCTAGGAAGGGACAGGCTGTGCTGCTGCTCGGGAGGTTCAGTCTCACCCCCAGGGGCCGGAGTGAAAGCACAGGGCGCTGCTGCCTGACGAGCTCTGAGGTTTGTACCTCTGCAAGCCCAAATTAACACCAAGATGTTGTAGCTGCAAGTCAGAAAGTTGCCCTCCCCGCTTGCAAACTGCAGCCCTGGCCCCTGCCAGTATTGTTAATGAGACAGTGGTGGGCTGGCACTAACGGCCCGTGGCTGCCAAGTCCTGCCCTCAGGAATGTTAAAGCAGCTTTCCCAGCAGTTTCAGACCAATGGCCATCACACTGGAGCATAACACATGTGCTCAGGTGTGGTTATAATCACGCTCGCTGACATGAAACTACAACTCGCTGCTTGCTCGGGAGAAGAGTTGCAGTCACTGCCAACCCTGAACCCTCTGGGAGAGGAGATTGCCATCAGAGATGGAGCTGGGAATGTGCTAACAGCTCCGGGAGCTGTGGTCACAGAACCTCTTATCCTTGTAGGATGTCCCGCGCGTTAAAGCCGCGGGGGAAGGAAAGCACTGACACCTCTGCAGTGCTGGGGCTGCCGGCCCGGGCCAGCCCTGCTCCCCGTGTGCTCTGGCACGCAGCTGAACCGCCCAGCCCATGTGGTAACCCTTGCACGGGCACCTGGGCTGCTGCAGCAGGGAGAGGGAACTCCGCTTCCCAGCCAGCACATCGTGGCAATCTCCCTGGGAGGGGTAGGGTGGGGAAAACAGGAGGTGGGAGAGGAGCTGCAGTTTAAAGGCTCAGACCTATCAGTGACCTTTTCACCTTATGTCTGTAGATGAGTCTTTTATTGTCCTGGCACTGGTTTGGCTGCCTCCCAGGATCGTACTGTAAACCTGCTGGCCAATAAAAAAGTTGGTGGCATGGCTGAATCCCTTTGTTTTTCCCAGGCACACGGCTCCCTACGGCCTGGGGAGCCCGCCCAGGCGGCGCAGGAGGTCGCCGGGCAGGTGCCAGTGCTCGCACTCCAGGGACAACATCTGTGCCACCTTCTGCCAGGGAAAGCCTGGGTAAGTCAGGGCGTCCTGGGGGC